TCTACTATTAAATTTTTAGACCAATTGAAATAAAATTGTGGAAGTTTAAAAAATGCTTTGAATAAAATCTCAAAAAGTCAGCGACAAAAGTCAAAATTTGAAATTTCTTAAATTGCTATCTTTTAGACATTAGTTCAAGGTAATGAACAAAACAAAAATTATGTTCAAAATAGATTCAGAATAATAGCAGGTATTGGAAAGACGTAATGAAAGGTTACAGTCCTACGTCATTTCCGGTTGGGCGAAGATGCGTCATTTTACATTTAAACAATAGCGACACGCTAAGTATAAGAGATAATGATGTCAGATAATCTGTGGTATGTGCAGTTTTGGCTGGGGAGCGTGACCAGAAGTAGACAAAAAAAAAAAAAAAATAGTCATTTCGAAAACTGCAAAAAAACCCATGTTCTATGTCCATACCAAATTTCTGACATTTAATGTCATTTTTATACACCCTCATGAAATGGGGGGCGTATATTTCCATCACCCATGTCCCTCCGTCCGTCCGTTCACAATTGCTCGTAAACACTCTACAAGGCACAATTTTTGATGGATTTTGACAAAATTTGGTGTGAGTGTTTGTAATCACCTAAGGATGAACCCTATTGAAAATCAGAAAAATCTTACATAACAAGTACAATTATCTCAATTCTGAACCGAAAAGTAAGACACTAGTAAGTCAAGCAACAGTTCTACATATTCTATTATTCTGTATAAGGTTATTTATAAATACATGTCTTACAAATAGAATACATTAGGCTATATGGTGTATATGAAATATATATCTCTACCTATTCTTTATCTGTAGATATTTGTTAAAACCTGATTTTATGAGAAGACCAGATCGTACATTTGATCCTTTTTCGGAAAGTCCTGTTGATGGAGTTATAGCAGCTCATTGTTCTGTAGAGGTTTGTAGAATTAACTTAAATATCATCATGTTTGCTGCCAGACGCACACGAGAGTCATCGGCTCAGCCATTTTGTCTCTCGTAAGCTTGATTAAACTGACAAATCTGACTCTAACCAGTTCCTCTGACGTGACATTCGGATGGGATATTGGAACTGGGTTTAACTCAACAATATACATGGATGTTAAACATTTGTTCAAAACATCGTCATACAAATGTTTGATCGTGTAGACAGTATGTATGACCATGTTCCTTGACAAATGTTTGATCTTGTTCAAATTTTTAGCTGCATGTTTCATCTTTCCAACAAAAGTTGGCAATATTTATATTAGTTATCAGTCTTTAACAAATCAACAGTTGTATAAGGGTCATGTGACTGCCTCCCCATGTGACTTTGCTTTCAGAATAGCAGCCAACATGGATAAGTGTGAACAGTGAATGCAATACATCTTATCACTGCATCTTTGCAATAAATGGTATCACCAGGCCATAACTTCATCAAGGACAATGACACATTGTCTCTTACGGAATTTGACGAAAAGTAAACATAACATATAAAAGTAAAAAACTTGATTTTATCTGCTATTTGAAGTCTATGGTATAGGTGGTTACCTTTTGCAGTCTACCAAAGCCAGATAACAGAATTGTTGCCTCGTAGAAAAAAAGATCCCAGTTACAGCCCTGATTACATTTGCTAATAATCCATGAAGGAAGATACAACCGTACATAAAATATTTCACTCAATAACACCTAATAAGACTCATGCTGACCTCTTTTCGTTTGATCAAGTCACTGACCATTGGCGAACCTTTCACGCTCATGCTTGCCTTTGTCGACGAAGAATTATCAAAGTGTTAACCAAAGCAGCACCACAATTCACACTGATTGGAGCAACTGTATTGAATTATTTCTGCCCAAAAATAATTGGTCATACATGGTAATACAGATGGTGGATCATGCACGATGATAATGGACGGTGTAGACAGAAATCCACAACAAGCTTGGGCACGGTCAAGCAAATGTATGATCGTGCATACAGGGCTTTAGAAAAGACACTTTGGTTTTGTGGACCTAATTCTGACGAATGTGAAAAAGATTATTATTGTTGGACTTTCCAAAATAATTTCGAATTTTTTCCTCACATTTTTTTTGTTTTTGTGGGACTTTCTTTTGCTATCGGAATGTCAATCCTTTTTTTTTTTTTTTCTCGATTTTTCCATTGGGCACACGAGGCTTCACAAGCTGCAACAACATTTTAACATGTGCAGATCTTCTGTAATGTCAATGTTGTTAGTAAATATGAATTGGAACTTTTTTGCAAAACCGAAAGTGTCTTAGTTCAACATGTGCAAAAAGTAGAAATCGGCTCTAAAAGTTGCTTTTTAGGTGGATATTCTTCTGGTTTTCATTTTTGGAATCTACATGTAATGACTGATATGGTAACAGTTTCAAAATTTCAGAATTGGAAAATTTGTTGCACATTTTAATAGGCTGAATTTTGCAATTTTGACCGTAAAAATAAGTGTTTTGCTTTTTGTCGGATTAATTTAATTTTTTGTGTGCAAAGATAGATAACTAAAAGTAAACAAAATGGAAAAGTCAAATTTTTCTGGTTTAAACAGGAACTCGATTTTTCCCTTGCAAATTGTCACACATCAAAATCCCACGTGTGGCTCTTGCTATATAATTATTTTTATCATAGTTATTGACTATTGACTATTTAATCTATAAGTCTCCATAGCTCTTCTATCCATTCTTGTACATTCAAAAGGTTCTTACTCTCCATGAAACAAAAAATATTTTCTTCTTGTGATCTTTTAAGAGGCTTTCATTTCTCTTTGTAAACAACCAATTTGAATATTGTCATGATTTTTTCAGTCAATGAGGATATAAATCTCATACAATTTTATTCACCTTGATATCAATATACATTTTCTTTCTAACAACCTGCTTTGTTTTCATTATTCCAAAAAAAATATTCTTTTTTTTTTCTTTGGATTGACCATGTCCGGAACAAAACGTCACACAGTCCGACATTTGTTTTACATTGTTTTTTTCTAAACTTAAGGGAGAATAGCTTTTAAAAGTCAAACGGAATGGTTTTGCAAAACTTGAAATGGAAAATAGTTTGGACAGTAAAGGAATGTGTATTTACTCCTTATGCATAGAATTTTCTGCATTGTATGTTAGAGGCAAAATGATATACATAGACCTTTTAAAAGATTCATATTTGCAAATTTTTTGCATACTTTTCTATCAAAACCATTTAGCACAGTAATAAAACGTGAAATGCAATTGATCTGAAATCTGCATGGTGTAAAACTGTCATGTATTTTCAGATGGTCTGCATCATTTACCGTTTTTGTAAAAATGGCCTTGAAATCAAAAAAAAAAAGAAAGATATTTGTGCCCACTCACTCCCTCTTAGACAAAGCATCAAACAATAGGCTTGAAGGATATATGTCATTTAATTACTTGAAACAAATGTAATAAATGACGCAAAATTGTATAAATTAGTTAATAACAAAAACAGCCTTAATAAAACTAAAAAATTAAGGATAATAACAATAACATAATGGAATTGTATTGGTTAAAATTAATCAAATGTTAAACGAGGCATTCTGATATAAGATTTGAAAGCAACACTCTTCTAACGGCCCACGAGGCGAATGGTATCGTCAGACAATCCACGTTGACAAGCAGCTGTGGCAGCTCCAATTTGAAATGAATGTAATTTAATCGAGAACAATCTAAATCCAAGAATTTTACAATATTTCCAAACTGTGAATTCAAAAACTGATAGGTAATCGGGGAGCCCCTGCAATGAGTGCTACTTTCTAAATACTTTGTTAATGGACACGGAGCACATCCAATTGACTGGCTGGCACAAGAACATTTTATAAGTAACTTTACAAGGAAATCTCAATGGCCGAAAGGTAACCATCAAGAATCAAAAACTCTATATTATCCGTCTGGACAACAAGACATTAATCCCGTCCAGAGTTAATTAGCCTATGCGAAAAAAACCTGCAAAAGCCAAAGCAAAAATGGATTGCAACAGCTGCTGATGATTGCGCAAAGACACCACTACCGGAATTGCTTCCAAAATACGGAATAAAATGTCATCCCCATAAGTTGGTCCCCTCGCCTTCCTGGCCCCACGCAACAAACTTGATATCACAAAGGATTTGGCACAATCTGAAAATCTTAACATCTCTTGTATGAAGGATATTACTGAAGCATGAGAGGCCAGAAACGAAGGTGCATACCTTGACTCAAAAAGATATGCTAGAAAATTGGAAATACTGACGAGGGAATATGAAAACTTGGGTTAGACACTTGGCAATAGTTCCTAAAACATGCAGTCAGAGCATTAGAGACCAGTGACAAAGCTGAAGAACTTAGATTATCAACAATTCCGGTGGAACCGTTTGAGGATTTGTATCGAGCCATGGTGCATGAATCCTTGCTTCCTGAAATGAGAATCGAGACAAGCAATCAGCGACAAGATTTGTCTTACCAGGATCGTGCTTGGCCCTTACGAAAATATTATAACGAAAACAGGCAACAACTAACCGTCTGACAAGAGACATTAGAATTTGACCTTTTGACGTCGCCTTATTGATAACAAATACTACTGTTGTATTATCTGACAGAAGCAGAATCTTACGGTTATGGACCCCAAAACTCCAAAGCCACAACTATTGGGAATAGTTCCAGAACATTGATTCTAAATGATTTTGTAAGACTAGGTCGTTCCCCCCAGAACCAACTTGATCCAAGCACAGGTGCATAACCTTTTGTTGATGAGGCATCTGTAAATAAGCGGAGTGTGTCTGATCCCAACCATTCAGTGCTCAGGAACGTGGAACAACCATTAAAACTATCTAAGATAGCAGCACTAGCTAAACTAATCTTATAGTAGGGTTTACTGACCACAATAGTTAAGTCGTACAGACGGCACAGGAAGGTCCGACTAGGCACTACAACTAAAGTTGCAAAATTGAGAAGTTCCAAGAGAGACTGCAACTCTTTGAGAGTAACCTTCTTGCGTGTTAAAAAACACTTGACAGCGTCACGCATTTTGACCACTTTTGCAGATGGTAAGCAGAACTCCATGGTCGAAGAATATACTTCAATGCCATAAATAGTTATCACCGTAGTAGGCCACACAGTCTTGGATGCTTTTATTGGAATGCCCAGGTATTCAGCCAGATTCAAGAAAGCCATGAGCGAGTCCAGAGTGAGAAAGAAATCATCAATCATATGACTGACATTGGCATTAAACTTTTCTTCCCTAACCCAATGCAAGGCCCCACTGAATCTCTCAACTGTCTGGCAGCTCATACTGAGGCCCATTGGCAGGCACATGTCTGCAAAAAAACAAATATCCTAACATTTCATAGTCGTCGGAATGAATGGGTAGTAAACAGTATGCATCCTGAATGTCACACTTAGCCATCAATCCACCTTTTCCTAACAGATTAATAATCTCAACAACCTGGTCAATACTATTGTAATTCACAGTAGTGTATTCCTCAGGAATACCGTCATTAATTGAATCTCTATGGGGAAAAGACAAATCATGAATAAACCGAAACACTCCTGGCTCACTTTTTGGAACTATGCCTAACGGTGAACAATGGAGATTCGGACATAGAGGACTCACAAAAGGCCCCATGATCCTACCTCTGCCAAGCTCTGCATTACGTTTTTGAAGTAAAATTGGTAAATTATCTGTACAGGACCTATGATTTTGACTTAAAGAAAAATGCCTCGTCCCTACAAATGGTATATGAAAACCCAGAGTGAAACCATCAACTAAAAACCTCGAACAATCTACTTGGCAGCACTGGAGTTCGTACTTGGGTGGGTTTGAGAACGGTTTTTCCCGAAAAGAATAACTAGTTTTTGATCTATCTGCTGGCTGAGCAGGACCTTTTCAAAGTCTCATTAGCAGGTGACACTACTTACACAGCTGCTGGAGTATTATCAAGATTAAGATCTAAAAACTTGTGATCTCTTTGACGGGCATGAGCAAACCTGCACCTGGAGCACACATGTAAAAACCGACAATGTGACCTAGTACATCCTGACTGAGAATTAAAAGCAAAGCAATAAGCAACAGCAGATCTTGGCCTTGCAGCAGCAACCGGAAGTTTGGATCTAATTGACAGTTTGATTGTCTCTTACCCAATGTTTTACTGTATAAGGTAACTGCCTTGAGCCAAAGTTCCGGATGCATACTATTCAACGAATATGACCGAGACTGCTTCAAAGTTCTAAACTGGGTGTCATAAAATATGAAAGAATTATGACCATAGCCCTTTGCCAAATCAGTAATGTGAGATTCATAAGCAAGCAAAGGAGAAATTAAATTCGGTGACCTAGTATACTAGTATATGAATAAAAATATGGAATGCCAACTAGCAAACGTTAAAGGTCTTGCCTTAGAAGTGGAACATACCTTAAAAACTGGCTCCACACCTGACTCACAAATATCCACAGACAACTCTTGAGGGTCACCCCAGGAAGCAGCAAAGCTAAATCAACAAACCTATTATCCCAAATATCTCTCTTTAACTTGTCTGAAAAATGCTGAGAAACACTTAAACCCATAAAGGAAGCTGAAGACCAATTCATTAATATATATTATTTATATGTGAAGTACCGAAAAGAGACACCTGAACTGGTTCGAGAACAGGAATAAAATCCAAATTCCCTTTCACGGAATAAAGAGGACACGCCATCCCGTCAGAATCAAAGCATGTGGAAAGGCACTGACAATGAATTGAAATGCACTCCAATGGTAAAGAGTACACGAACAGTCGCTGGCCAACACACACAGATAATGGAATAAAAACATACTTATCTTGAAAAGAAAACCATAATTAACATGGAAATAAACGTTGGGTCTTCGAAAAATGAATCTAATTTTTGTTTGATGTCAGCGGACAATCCGCTAAGTCGTCTTGCTGGGCAGTGACTGATAAAGTCAATGGTACTCAATCCCGTTCACTTAAAAGGTAAACAAACCGAAAATAGATCGCCAGAACAAAAACCATTACTTACAGTAATGTTCATTTGTGAAAAAATCTCATCAATCACAATAACTTTTGTTCTGGTCTGAAGCTCAAATAACGTTAAATAAAAGAGATTAGGTTAAGTAAATGTGGTTAAATAGGATAAAAAAGAAATTTTGTTGTATGTTAATTAGATCACGTGACAGAGCTCTTTAAAGATAAAAATTACAATTTTCAAATGGCCCTAGAACCACTTCTCAAAAGTGAATATATTTGGATAGATCTCCCTTAGGGAAACAAGTTTTGTTCAGGTCACAAGGCCACCAAACCTCAAGGTCACAAGATTTTGTCCAATACTGAATTTCAATTCGAAGAAAAATCTATCATTTCAAGATGGCAATTGATCTAATTTTTCTTGGACAAATTTTATCAATTATAATCTTTGAAAAAAACAATTCTAAAAAGAGAATTTTTTAATTTGTTCAAAACTCTGGAAGTTGAAACTGTGAAATTCAAATCTTGTAGCAATTACCCCTCAAAAATGAACAAAACAAATGGATCACAATCGTTTCAGAAATAAATCTCTAAATGCAGAACCTCTGAAAAAAGTATTTTTTACCAGTTGAGCAAAAATGCATCATTCTACATTTAAACAACAAGGAGCACATAGGTATTACAGATACCATGTCAGATCATGTGAGGCATGTACAGTTTTGGATAGGACACTCCCACCAGAATTCAAAATAAAGAAAAGATAGTCATTACAAAAACCAAGGCAATGCATTCGAATAACGCATTGCAAAAAGCCAAAAAAACGTGAGCGGAAGCCGCCATTTTGATAAGTTAAACAATTCTTAAAATTGCTGTTTAATCCTTAGTTATTATTTATTTGCATGGTATTGGTACTAATCAAGCCCTTAGACGTTTTTGAACAAAACAAGGCAACCAGATTTTCATACACCCACAGGAACTGGGGAAAGTCAATTGATGTTCAATGATATCACTTTCCCTGGTAGTTGCTAAGTAACATTCCAACAATCTTCTCATGGTAGGAATCCAATATGGTTTCATAAAATGATGATCGTCCAATAGCCTAAGCTAAGGAAGATGCAGTGGTTCCAAAGGTTTAAGACAATGTTCTAGTAAAATAGAAGACATAAATTGCAGGGATATATTTGTGCGGCCTTAATCTGTCCACTTGCATATGTACCTTAATGTCGTTACACGCCCTGTATCAGTACTGTTAAGGGAACAGTTCTATTTTTCATTTGTTTTACTATAAGGAGAAAAGAAGATAATCTACAATTATATTTTTTTCCTTGCAGGTAATATCTGGTCAGTTTCTATCTGATAAAAAGATTGGTACATATGTAGAAGTTGATATGTATGGATTACCAACAGATACTATACGTCGTGAGTTTCGCACCAGAGTTGTCCCTAATAATGGTTTGAATCCAGTCTATAATGAAGAAGCATTTGTGTTCAGAAAGGTATAATAAATTATCTATGTTTTTTCATATATATTTAGTACTTAAATGGGATTAGTCTGTTCATGTTGATGGTGGCAAATGTTGTCCTGATGTCAAAATATTTTCAAACAAGACCACTTAATCTCTATGCACTATTCTAACAGTTAAAATAATTTTTAATGTTAATTTTCAAACTATTCAATTATCTTCAAATAATTCAATTACTACATCCATGAACTTAGTTTGGTAGAATCATTTTTAAAATCTGGCCATTGAATAGTAGACAACTCTAAATAGACATAAGACAAACTATATAGTTTCTATGTCTCTGAACAAAGGTGCAAAACCCCTTCAGTTCTCGAGCTAGTGACATAATTACCATAATTCAATTACAATTTCAATTAAACATAATTTTGCAGAACATTTATTGACATCTTGCCTAGATGGCAAGTCTAAATAAACATGATTGATACGGTTACCCAGTTGTTCTGGAGATAAGTATTCCAATTGAAATAATAAGTCATAGTTTTGAAGTAGTTGAAATCAGTTAACCAATTACCAGTTGTATTTTGCAGTTAACCCGGTCTGATTTGAGATGGATTTTATATGAAAGGGATAAACTGGTAGAACTGCACATGTTTGTCTATGGGTTTTCAATATTGCACTAGGGGATTGGTATAGTGATACCACTGGCGATATGACTGTTCCAAGCTCTGAGTGCAATATTGAATTTGAAACTTGAACTGCAGCATGGAATGTGCTAAGCGAGATAGCAACAAAAATATTCAACATATGTGTAATATAGATACAATTAAAACATTTTGATTTGTTTTGTAGTATTACACATGTATGTAATATTAAATCTGCCAGAAGAATGGGAAGGATGTCAGTTGAGGTTCAGAAAATAAAATAATTCACCACTTTCTAATAGTTTGAAAATTTACATTTTGATTAGATCAAATATAGATTTACAACAGTCAAAAGATTGTGAAACCAGATTTCGCATTTTCGAAAACAGATTTTGGGCATAAATGTACAGAGGTCATAAACCTTTAATGGATTCTAATTGTACAAGAAACTCATCTTGCTCAATTATATATATATGTCAGTTACACAAGATTTCTAGTGTAGGTATCTTAATTTCAGAAATTATTCTGGCCTGGTCCAGAGTCACAGTGGATTAATTTGTCTAGTATTTGTTTTTTTCTTCTTACTTAAGATTCAGAAATGTAAACCAAAAAACTGGATTTTGTTTCCACTTGAAAACTAGACAAACATTCCAGAAACATGATGGCTATTTTTGTCAACCAACTCCACAATTGTATGTGATCAAAACTTTTCATTCAAGGTTGTTTTACCAGAATTGGCTGTGTTGCGTATTGGTGTATACGAAGAAACTGGAAAACTGATCGGTCAGAGAATTTTACCTTTAGATGGGTTACAGGCTGGTAAGTTCATTCTAGATTTGGAAAAGGCCAACATTGATATATTGTTAGCTCCCCTGTCCTCCCATAACATCATATCCTGTGGAAGTAGAAAAGGCTACAACTTTCAATACGCCTACATGAAATGTGAAGTTTCTATTTGCATCAGTGGAGGCTGCCAAACTTTGTTGTTTTATTTTGTAAATTAAGAATCCTGTATTTTTATGCAATTTTGAAAACTATTTCTTCAATATTATTAAATTTTTACAATGAAAATAGCATATGTCCAGTCAAAGATTTGTAATTTTGGGCCTTTGGGGGGAGGGAGCATCCTTTGGACCTGTCACTGATTGACAGGTTTCTGATGGATCATCACAAGTGGTTTATGATTGGTGACGGCTGTGAAACGTCTGCCATATAGATAAACATGGAAACGTTTAGTACCATGCACCAAAGCAAGTGCTTCTCATTCAATGCTTGTATATGAGATTGAGCAAACTGTTGTTATATTTGGCCTTGGTTGATCCAAAAACACAAACATCATCAGCAACAATAACAACTCCTTGAAGTCCTTCATCCATACCTTGTTGGAAAATGTCTGATAGATAGACGAAAAGGTAGACTGTGTATGCTACATTTCCTGGTAGATTGATGAATTGATAAGGAGAGTTAAGTTCCCAAAATGTTGAACTGATCTGGAAAGCATTCCTTAAGATCTGCTATTGACTATGCCCCTGTCCGTTTGCCGTCTGTCCACAATTGAACTCCTGGTCAAGTTCGAATTTGAAGATTTTTCAATGAATGGTTTTTGATTTCGGGGAAGGGAGGGTTTGATTCTCCCAAATGTACAGGCCTAGGGTGGAGCAGACACTTTATTTAGAAATTAGGATTAAGGGTCTTGATATTGGGTTTTCTTCTGTTCTTATTCTGATCTGAAATTAGAAAAAATAACTCGCCCAATGGGCGAGAAGTATAGTATCTGTTATGTGCTGATTGTTTTTAGTTTACTATGAACAATATTATCATTTAAGTTCTTATTTTTTGAATATGCAACTATCATTTTCTGCTTATAGACATGGGGGAATTTCTCTTGAAGGCTCTTATAGCGGGCATGAACTATCTTGCTTGCTCGATTGCTGGTTGTATTAAACGGGACACAATGCCTACATTATGATGAATATTTAGTCCTATAGGTCTTGCTGTATTCAATGTCTCAATCCAATGGGCTTCCCTAGATTGACGGAATTTGGTAGTTTCATCTTCGGGCAAGTCAATTTCTATACGCTCAATTGGGATTAGGGCGAGATCGTCTATTGAATGGTCGTCGAGGTTGAAATGATTAGAAACAGGCTTGCATTTCTTTAATTTGATATCTGACTTATGAGCATTAAAGCGAGTTCGTAAATTATTCTTAGTTTCTCCTACATATTGTTTGGGGCATTTCTTGCATGAAATTAAATATATTACATTCGAATGTTCACATGTTAGATGTTCCTGGATCGGGTACCTTTTGTTTGTAGAGTTGCTTACAAAATAATGAGTTTCTGATATAAAGGGACATGTTTTACATCTACTGGACAAACATGGAGCACTTCTTAAACCTGGAGGTACTTCGGCATAAAGTCTGTTTTTAGCTGCTATCTGTGCTAAGGTGGAATTTTTTATGTTTCGTAAAAATCGTTTAGAGTACCCACGCTCTTTCAGTTTTGAGAAAACAATCGTACAGGCTTGGTTGAAATCAGAAGATCTTGTACAAATTCGATGAAATCGTAAAACTTGTGACTTAATTATACCAGAAAAGGTATGTTTTGGGTGAAAGGAGCTCATGTTTATGAGTATCAGTTTCTTTGAAATACACTTTAATATCCAGTTTATTTGTTTCTGCTATGGAATCTCCCTTAAAGACTGTGTTATCGAGAAAGTCTATGCTTTTGTCACTCACGTTTGCGGTTAGTTTCATAGAAGGATGGTGGTTGTTGAGAATTTCAAAGAATTCCCAAAACTGTTCGATAGAATAAGTCCAAACCATAAAGATGTCATCCAAAAAGCGTCCGTAAAAAAGTGGGTCAAATGGACAGAGGGGCAACACCTCACGTTCCCACTCTGCCATGAAAAGGTTTGCGTACGAAGGGGCAAATCGTTTGCCCATTGCTGTCCCTGAAGTTTGTAAATATTTTTTACCATTAAATGTGAAATCGTTTCGACTAAGACAAATCTCTAAAAGCTGTAGAATTCCATCGTCGGGTCTGTTTGGATCTGGGTTTCTATTAAAAGCTTTACGAACTGCCGTTAAACCAGTAGTGTTATCGATATTGGTATACATAGAAGAAATATCGATAGAAATTAAAATAGCATTAGAGGGAACTCGAAGATTTTATATTTTATTGACAAAATCGGTTGTGTCTTTAAGGTAGGCGCGATGTTGACATGCTAGAGGTAGTAAGAAATGATCAATGTATTCTGACACTGCATATGACTCACAACCACAGTCAGATATAATCGGGCGGCCTTTAGGGATTTTATTCTAGATAAACCACTCCTTGGTTGGATTCTTATGGATTTTAGGCAAAGTGTACAAATGTCTCTCGCGACA